GAAAGCAAGATCCAAGCTGAATTCAAACCAGGTTGCTCAGGGCTTTGCCCACTCAGGTGGGGAAAATCTCCAAGAATAGAGATAGCCAGCCTCCCTGGGGCAACCTGTTCCACTGCTGCTTGTCCTCATGGTGAAAATTTTTCTCCTCACATATAGCTGGAATCTCCTACTTCAACTTTTGACCACCATTTCATTCTTCCACTGTGCAGCTTAGTGAAGAGCTCCAATGATCTTCTTATACATATGGGAAAGCTCCCATTAGGTGCCCTCAAAGCCACCTAATCTCCTGGCAGAACAAGCTTCATTCTCTCAGAAAGGTCTTCCTTTTTTCCCTTTTTAAATATGGGGGTTATGTTCCCCCTTTTCCAGTCAGTGGCAACTTCACTGACTGCCACAACTTCTCAAATATGATGGACAGTGGCTTAGCCACTTCATCTGCCGGTTCCTTCAGGACCCGCAGATGCATCTCATCAGGTCCCATGGACTTGTGCACCTTCAGGTTCCTTGGATGGACTTGAACCTGATCTTCTCCTATAGTGGGAGACTTGGGCGGTGTGGCTGGAACACTTGCCAGTGAAGATGGAGGCAAAAAAAAGTCAGTGAGTACCTCAGCCTTCTCCATATCCCAGGTAACAAGGCCTCCTCTGTCCTTCCAGAGAGGGCTCACATTTTCCCTAGCCTTCCTTTTATCACCAACGTACAATGAACGTACAACATACATTCCCAACAACATCTTAAACCTGTATACACTGACACACTGTTGTGAGGTTCAAATCCAGATCCCATCAAAACAGTGAATTAACCAAACTCACTTGGCTGATCAAGTAGACATGAAAAACAGATGTCATGCTTAGAAATTACAGTTGATATTTAGGTATTTTAAGTTCTCAGGTTATTTCCCCAAACCCACAGTTTAGAGAGTGCTAAAACACCCATAGCACCCTAGTAACAAAGAAATGTACCTTTTTCAACATGGGTTTTGATCCCTGCTCTTCTTTCCCTGGCTTTCTGAGCCATTTCTCGGAGCTTTTCCTCATGTTTCTCCTTTTCTTTCTGAGCCATCTTCCTCTCCACCTGGGCACGCATCTCTACTGCCTCACGAGCCTGCACACATAAAACATAGTTAAGAAGACAGAAATCTAACACCTGGGATGCAAGCAGATGCTCTGTCATGGAGTTATCCAGTAAAGAGGGCAGGAATCAAGCCCCAGAGAGGAAGTTCAAAGCCAGCTAGCCACAGCAGTTAGGGCTGAGAAAAAAAACCCATGACCTACAATAATTTAACCCACACTGAGGCACTGATTCAGAGATACTGGGGTAAAACCGTATGTCTTACATTAGCCAAGATGCAGGACAAATCAAAAAGCTATAGCCTGTCCACAGTTGATTTTCCCAAGGAATTAAATGTACAAAAAAGGTAAAACTACATGGAACAAAACAGTTTAAACAACCATCTGACCTTTCTGTCAGCTATATAGAGAGCCTCAGCAAGCTTGGCAAAGTTTTCATTAATATGAACAGTCTGCAATCCTCTGCCATCTGCAGCCAGACGCTTATCTAATGGAATGGTGTAACCCTACAGGGGAAACAGAGAGGCAGTTAATCACAGAAACTCACATTATTTGTAATAACATTATTACATTTACTATGTAAGAAAACAAAAGCACACACATAACTCACAGCCCATCATTAATACACCTCATTGGTCCTCCTTTATATGTACTTCAAATTCATACTAGATAATACTAAGCTTCACTCCAATTCCACACTCCCCCCAAATCCAAATGACAATTTCTCTTCGAGTTACATCTTAGTACAAATGAGAGGTTTTGATCAGTAATGTCCACTCTTTGCATTGTGTTAAGAACTACAGATAATAGCTTTCCCAGTCTTTAAGCTGTTTAACCATCTGTGTTTAAAAATTGTTTTCCCTAAACTGTTTTCATACCTGTTAAGAGGTTAGTCAATTCAAAATGAGAAAATAAGGGGCAAGGCTTCCAGCAGAAGTAAAAGACACTAAATGCCAGTTTTGCTTTCAAAAGCTGAAAGCTAGAACTATTTATAGATGATATTTTAAGATTCTTTAGTGAGCTCTACAAAATTTTTGCTTTGCTTTTAGCATCTGTAACCTAAAATCTGATCTACTAATTAGTGTCAGTCCCAGTTATACAGCTGTGTTGGGGTAGAAAAAAAAATAACATCCAAACATGCAGCTCTTTGCTCTATTTGAAGAGGCTCCCTCATGACACGGCTTGGTAAGTTTGAGAACGATTAAACCAGTTACTGCAGCAAATTATAAATTCTCCAATCTCTCTGAACATAAACTTACTGGCTGATAAAAATCAAAGGGACAGGACATACCTACTCAAACAAGGAATAAAAATAGCTAAGCAACCAGTGATGAAAATTAATTAGTGAAAGAATGAATGATGCAGTCCGAACTTCTGGACAATTCTGCTGTATTAAAATGAACCACGCTTGGTTCTCTATGAACTGCCCTTCTCTTTTTCAGTTTAGATGGCTTTACTTTGTGAGCTCCAGAGACTTTGGTTTCAGATTCCACGTACTGCACTATTATGAGGATTTTAACTCATGCCATTTTTTTTCCTCTCAAAAAGCATAATCTCTGCCATGAAGTAATAACATATTCTCTCTCAGTTCTATACTGTCAATTTGACAGCCCTTAGCCGAAGACAGAAAAACTGAGTTGTACAATCATGTGTTCTCCCTGCTGGAGGCAACCAGTTTACCTAACTCTAAAGGTTTAAAACCAGTATTACTCAAGCTTAAATCATTCACAGAAGTCTCCCAGCAGGGCACAACATTAGAAAGATGAATTTATGACAACTTAATTACCTTTGCATTTTTCCAGTTTGAAATGCACGGAGGAATTTTCCACTCTTGCTGCTCTTTCACAGTCATCTGATTTAAGAAAAGAAGCAAAATCATCTTTAGGTTTATAGCAAAAGGAAATAGTGGTTTCTGTCTCAAAGGCAGGTATTACACAAATTAGAGTACAAAGTTCAGGACACTGCTACAAAAACCCCAACTCTTCTTAGCAATAAGATGTTAATTTCTGCACTGTACCTTTGCCAACATTGAATAAAGTCACAACAGCTTTTCAGCCATCCCCTTAAACTTTTGTCACACGGGCTGGAACTCACAGCCAGCTTGTTAACATTTGCACATTCAATGGCAGTTCAAGTTGTAGGAAACTGATGAACCACCATTACATACATCTCTCAGAAGGAGCTAATTGTTAAAAACACAAGCTGGTGTTATTAAGGATTAGCTTAATAGCGTTGTCTAAAAGCAGCATCAGTGTACCAAGGCTGAAGCCTCAGTCAACTCATCCGTGCCTTGAACAAATCCAGCAATGCAGCCCTGCATAAAATATGAGACATCTACTCAACCTTTGACAAGGTACATAGGAAGAGACTTACTTTCAGAACTGCCCAAACAAACAAAAAAGAAGGCTGCACTAGGCACCAAGATTATCACTTAACATCACACCAAAAGAACAGCACAGAGAAGGTATGCAGAAATTAACTATGCAGAAATTAACTAGATCAAAGTAGAATTTGTGAACCCATCTAGAATTCAAAACTGAGAACAGCTATGGCATTTCATACCTTTCTACTAGGAGAGTGCATTACAGGTGCTGGAGGAGAAGGTGGTCCACGTGGAATCTTCTTGTTAATTCTGAACAATTAAGAAAACAATTACAATCAACATGTTGTACGGAAATATACTTCAGAATCTTCTATTTGCCACGAACAAGTTTTGAATAGTTACTTGAATCTTGGTGGCTCCATAGGGTCCTTCTGCATTTCCACCATCCGAATGACTCTCTGTTTTGCTCCAGAGTTGAAGGCAACGCCTTGCTGAGATGGTGTGTACCTGAATAAAACAATCAAAGCACTCAGGCCTCTGCACGCAGCCAGGTATTCCTTGTCCACCTTCATTTTTACTCAGTTCACTGCTCTAGCTGCATTTTCATTTTATCCACATCAATTTAAGGCTTTTCCACTGTGAACGCCAGGAGGAGGTAACTGCACAGAGGATACTGGACTGAATGCAGAAAACCAATTACACCAGACAGAACGCATCTTCCCAGGGCTATGTTCTCCGGTTTCAACCCAGATTCTGAAGTAGAAGAAACCAACTAATAGAGCACACAGAGCATGGCACAGTACTCGTTACCTCTGTCTGGCAATCCCTGGTGACTACTTACTGGTTATTAAGAACCTCTGCACATACTTTTTTCAGAATTCACCTCAGGCCAAGTCTAACCCTGCCATGGAATTTTCCTGTGTTTACAGCAGAAAATAATCACAAATAAGTATCAGCCTCCTAGTAATTCAAATTCTTTCCAATTGCTCATTTTGTGAGAGAAGAACTTTGTTACATGCCTTGTCTTGCCTTGAAACTCCCAGTAAAGACTCTGGTTTTAGGGAAGCATCATTAACAGCACTCCTTGAGAAATCTGTATTTTGTTGCCAAAACAATAACCCCTCCATAAAGTGCCACAACTCATGGCATGTAAAGATGTATTTCAACCCACTTCAAACTAGGTTATCATTAGTGGGTTAATTCAAAATATGTAAGCCAGTCTCATATTACTTCCAGAAAAACAGAATTCAAGATGAATGTTCTCAGAAATTCAAGGAATATCCCAAATTTTAATCAATTCTATATATAACATCTTACACAGACACCAGCACTACATACCGAATGTACTGTGCAGGAGCTAGTTTGTCAGCTGCTCGAACTGGCATGGCCGCTGCAACTTTTTGGGAGACTGACTTCTCCAAGGCTGCTCTTGTCTTCTCTGTTATCTGAAGACAAAAATACCACAGTATGCATCTCATCCCATATGCAAGACATACAATATACCACTGATAACTAAGCACATCAGTGCATGTAATACCTCTCTAATTGCCTCCTCATCTGGTCTTTGCAGTTCAGGATCATCCACATTCATGACCTCTTTTGGCACGAGATCTGTGTACTTGCTGTAAATAACCTGGAAGACATTATATTTTATTAGTGCTGGCAAATAAGAATAAGTGTATGTATATCAAAGGAAATGTTTCAGGCCTAGATTATACTTTAGGTACTAATTAAAACTTGTATACAACTCTAAATGCATTTCAATTACATATTCTTCAATTGCTCCCATAGAACAAGAATATACTCTGGACTCCATTTTACAGATTGAATAAATCGAAGAAAAGAAGCAATTTGATTAAACATAATTATGTAAATCACTCTCAGAGCTGGGATTAGACACCAGCTTCCTCCTTTCCTTTCTTACTCTTTTCCTTTTTCAGGGTCCCCAAGGATGACAACACCAAAAATAATCCATATTTGTACTTCTGTTTCCAAGGAACACTTATGAATTTGATACAAGTCTTTTTCAGCATCTAGATGTTTTCATTTCATTATGTTTGCTATTTTCTTGAAAAAATAAATGCTTGAGAAATCTGTTCTTGACACCTTCCCTTATATAGGTACTTCAGTCTTTATACAACGTGCAGCTA